GAAGGATATCTGGATGCATATAATAAGACTGTCCTACATAAATGAGGAAAAGTTGAGGTGCCTTTATTATTCCTCTGTTCCTACCATTCACAGCAAGCTGCAGATTAACGTTCCATACTCCTTCCCCCACCCTTTCCTGTTGCTAGTGGCCGAGGGAATGCTGGGAAATGTAGTTCTTTTCCTGCTCCAGGGCTGGCTCTATAGGCAGGGAGCTAAGCAAGGAACTACAGCTCCCAGGGCCCACTGTTCGTTCTCAGCTCTCATGCTGGATTCTTGCGCCCCTTGCAAATCTGCCGCCCCAAGCAACTGCTTGCTTTGCTGGTGCCTAGAGCCGGCCCTGGCCTCGGCTTAGCAATACTGATAGAAGTGTGTCATGGACCTGCCTGAAGCTGGGGGTGTCCTGTGAAGTGATCATGCCTAATTCAAAGTCCAATTGATATTGGACTCATGATGGCCTGTCTGGGGCTCACATGCCACAAAATAAATCAAAAGCCTCTCACTGACCTAAAAGAGAAGTGTGGTCAGAATTAGCCCCTGACAAAGCCTGGCTTTGTGAGCTAAGGCAGAATGAAGATCCTTTCTTCTACTTCACTCAGAACTGCCATCTGATAGCAGCCAGTCTGCATCATCTGGCCTGCTGATGCCTGATCGGCCTTTGCCTGCTCCCAGCCCTTCTAGCTGCGACAGGAAAACAACTTGCTGGTTCCGCCAGCAGTTGACTGTGCGAGGCCTTTCTAAACAACTGGAGGTCCAAACTCATTGCCCTTCTTTTCCTAGGGTAGGTTGTACCAAGGCAGTGAGGTCTCTGGCAGTAGGCAGCTAATGCCTGATACACCCGATCGCAGAGAGTTATAAAGTTATAGATTAAAAGAAACTCCTGAACAGCACCAGCCAGAGAGTTAGCCAGCTGCAAAGAGAATCAGTTGCAGCACGTATTCAGCCACAGAGAAAGACCATCAGAGTCCTTGCAGCAATTTTTACCCTAGACATTCTCTTCCCTGTGCTGATTGATTGTTTGCTCCAACCCTCCCTCACAATTTCTAGATCTGACTCACGCCACCTGCCTTCCATGTTCCTTTTATCCTCCCAGCAATTTCCCCCTCCCTTCCTTTGCATTTTCATTTAACCGATCGCCTAACAAATCCCCAACAAAACATTTAAAGAAACCCAATCCCTTAACCGCCCTCCCCCCTCAAAAAATCATGGAACTAATAAGATGTTTGCAAACCATCCCTGTTCATTCATACTTTATATCCCTTTCCCTAATGCTTTTTCAGTGTTGTCTAGTTAGGTTGTAAGCTCATTAAGACAGGAACCATCTCTCTAGGTATGTGCAGTGAGTGCCTAGCACAAACTGTTCACAGTTAACCTCTAAGTCCTGTTGTAATACAAATAAATAATAAAAAGTTAAACCTAAAACTTTAAACAGAGCTTAAAGCCTATTGTAAAAGCCAAGATATAGAAGCAACAAGGGAATCTGGAAATAGCCCTGTGAATAAATGTTACTCTGTTACCCAGGGTTTTCAGAACCCAAAGCAGTGGTAACTTAACTATTTCACTCCAGGCGGTGTCAGAAATAAATCAATGGGAACACAGTGCTTCTGGCTGATGAAAGACTAATACAAGTAAGCATGCTCTTATCTAAAGCTATAATTTATTAGATTAAAGCACACACAGACATAAGTAATAGGTTTAGAACATCCCAAATAATTACCTACAATCTGAGATGGTATTGAGTAATTAACTAGAGGTCTGGAATGGCTGGTCACTTCTCCACCAAGGAGTATGGTGTCAGGAAAGTGTCTCAGGATAGCTTCAGAGAACTGCTCCAAAGTACACTATTATCTAGTCTTTTTATAACTAACTTTTACAAAACACACAGCCCATAGTGACCCCTACTGGGTCATCACCTCTCCTAACTTCAATAAACTACTCACCCACAAACATTGCTAACAATCTTAGTCATAATAAGCTTCTATATGAAAGGTGCCCAAACTCAAGCTCCATCCACTTATTTTCTTTCAGTCTCAATTTGTTGACTCTTTTCTCCCCTCCTCCCGTTCTGATTAGCAGACACTGCAAGCATGCAACTAGTTTTGACCTTGTCTCCAGAAGCCCTACTTGTTCAAATTAATCCTCAACTATGTGGTGTTCTGTTTTATTAATTCATGGTGACTGAATGCATACAATAAGGTTGCAAGTTAGCTTGATCAAAATCTGGGGTACACACCCCAAATTTGGGGCAACAGCTTAGCTGTTTTTTCTTACATGACCTCTTCTCCATACAAGTTGCAACAGAGAAGGAAATTAACCTATCAGACAAGCAGTCATTTTCTAGCATGCTGGGAAAAGCAAAACAGAGCAGAGAAAGGCTGTTTTCGAGGGTGTCACAAGATTTTCCTGCCTGAAGACCACAGACCAGACAGACAACCTCATACAATGTGACAAAATATCCCCCAAAATGAGCATGTGGGAGCAGATCTGAATGTGACCCCTTTCACATTCAGACCCCAAGGACTGAGACTAGAGTCTGAACTCACCCATGAAAATGCATAGACCAAAATGTCCAGTGGCCACCTCCAGCAATACAAGCATCCACAGTGAGTTTTACAGGTTTTGTGCAAATGGATTGAACTGAACTAATTTTTAGCAGCTTGTACTGATTGCCCCCACTGATCAGTTGTTGAATGGTTGAAAAGCAGGCCCCGCCTCCCATCTGAACAGTCCAATCTGGTTTCTTCTCTTTTTAAGGTCCTTGAGGTTCCTCCCCATAGTATTGGGCCAGCTCAGAATGCTCAATTCTTGAGATAGAGAAGGTGGGTGAGGTAATGTCTTTTTACCTGGAACTGATACAGCTACAACACCGCATACAATTCTTGTCATGTTAATACTACCACAGAACCAGCAGAGGGGATCACGTACATACTTTTTAAAGCTGTATGATACGGTTCTGACAAGTTACTTTTATAGCAGAAGAAAAAATAATTACATATAAAAAGATGATGTATTGCAAAACTAAAGAACAATGGGAAAGGGCACTGTGACACAAATTCAGGAGGCAGAGAACCAAAAAAAAGTAGTTCTTAGTTGTTCAATCTGCTGCTGTTTTTCAGTCTCATTATAGGGCTATTCAGAGCATACTGCTAAGATCAAAGAATTAGGTGACCTACACCTAAAACTTAGGAGCTTCGTCCATCAGGGATGTACAAAATTCACACCCCTAAAAGATGTAATTAAACTGACCTATGCCCCGGTGTAGCCACAGTGAGGTTGATAGAAGAATTCTTCCACTGACCAAGCTACCACCTCTTGAGGGGGTGGATTTACTACAGCGACGGAAAAAACCCTTCCACTGCTGTACCAAGTGTCTACACTACAGCTCTAGAATGGCACAGTGGCAGCAGTGAAGAGGGAAATGCTGCCACTATGCCACTACAGTGCTTGTAGTGTAGACTTCCCTTAGAGAAATAAGGGATGTGAAAGAATCATTAGGTTATCCAGTGCATCTCCCTTGCCAGTGCAAGACTGCTCCTCAGACTACGTTCACTACCATTTTGCCTAGCTTTACGTGTTTCAGGTGATAGGGCTCCCACCAGTTACTTTGGGAGACTATTCTACAGCCTAATGTAATTGTCTTAACTGGCTTAACCAATAGCAAC